TGGAAGTTTCGCGGTCATCGGAGCAACCACGCTCCCCACGCGCCTCCCGAAGCCGCGCCACCTTCTCCCGTTCCGCCGCGCGTGGCGGCCGCGTCTCGCCGCCGTTCGAGCCGCCACCCTTTGCGCCGCCGTCGCCTCCTTCTCCTCTCTCTCGGATCTGTCCTCGCCGCTCCAATCGGACCTCTTTGGCGTTTTAGGGTTTTTCTCTCCCTTCCTCCATGGCATCTTCCGCCGCCACTTCCACTCGAAGTTACCTCCGTCGACTCCGGTGGGTCCGAGCAATCGGCTTTTACTAATTATGTCAATGTGAATTTACCCATTGATAAATTAGATGGTACGAATTATGCAACTTGGGCATCCGATATTAGACTTTGGCTTGAGAGTCGTGGGTATATTGATCATCTTACTACCAAGGTAGATGATGTTCCTTCCAATGATCGTGTCCGTTGGAAGAAAGTTGATGCTCATATATGTATGGTTCTCAAGAATACCATCCAATCTTCTTTAAAACAAATTTTTAGATCGTATGGCACATGTTATGACGTTTGGGAACAAGCCAAATTATTATACACCAATGACACTCAACGTCTTTATGGTGTTTGTTACAATCTTCTTGATGTTATTGCTCCTCGAGATAAGGATCCTGTGGCGGATTATGTGGGTAAGATCCATGCTCTTCTCCATGAATTTAATGAGTTATTACCCCCGCCTCGACTCTCGCCCAAGAATTAGAGCAACGATCAAAGTTTTTCATGGTTTTGATGTTACACGGACTTGCCGATAAATATGCCCTCGTTCGTGACCGCATTTTGAGTTCCCCTGTTACACCCAGCTTTACCGCTACCAGTTCCTCCCTTTTGCGGGTGCCATGTAAACCTCTCAATATTCCCCCGTAGTTTCTAATGATTCATCTCGCCTTGGCCTCTCACCGTGATGATCGTAATCGCTCTCACAAGCCAGGCAAAGGGCGTGTCAAGTGTGACCATTGTGGCAAACTAGGCCACAAAATTGACAAATGTTATGCTTTACATGGTTATCCTCGCCGATCTCGCTAGCTTGCTCGGGACCGATTCTTCCGCACAATCCTCTGCTGTGGATCCTCCTTCGTCTGTACCTTCGGACAAATCTGCTATCTTCAATGATTTTCTTCAATGGTATGAGGATCGAAAGCCCTCCAGGCTCCACTACTTCTTTTGCCCACACAGGTACATCTTTTGTCTGGTCCGACTCACTCTTCTTCTATTGGCTCTTGGGTTCTTGACTCGAGCGCCACCGATCACATCACCGGTAACAAATCCTTATTTTCCTCTTTCACTTCTTCTCATAATTTACCCTCCGTTACAATGGCTAATGGGTCTACAACTTTAGCTCATGGTGTTGGAACGGTTACTCTTTTTCCCTCGTTGTCCATTGATAATGTTTTGTATGTACGCGGGTCCCCCTTTAACTTATTATCCATTAGCCGTCTAACTCGATCTCTTGATTGTGTTATCTCTTTTACCAAAACTTCGTTTCCTACAGGACCGGAGCTCGCAAAGAGTGATTGGCACCAGATGTGAGTCACATGGACTTTATTATCTTCAACCCTCTCCACATGTTGGCACGATTACTGAGTCTCCTTCTCTCCTTCATGCTCGGCTTGGTCACCCAAGTCTGCGAAAATTACGACGAACTTGTTCCCAGCTTATCCCAGTTGTCCAATTTGGTGTGTGAGTCCTGTCGAGTTAGGCAAACATAGTCGTACTTCCTTTTCTCGTAGTGTTTCCCAGCGTGCTTCATCCCCCTTTGCCTTAGTTCACTCGACATTTGGGGACCCAATCGTGTTAAGTCTAATTTAGGTTTTCAATATTTTGTTACTTTTATTGATGATTTCTCTCGTTGTACTTGGTTATTGTTAATGAAAAATCGTTCGAAGTTGTTTTCTATATTCCAAAACTTTTATCATGAAATTAAAAATCAATTTGGTGTCTCTATTCAAACTTTTCGAAGTGATAATGGCCGTGAATATCTTTCAAACTCGTTTAAACAATTTATGGCTTCTCATGGCATTCTTCATCAAACTTCCTGTGCTTATACCCCTCAACAAAATGGGGTAGCCGAGCGCAAGAATAGACACCTTATTGAAACAACCCGTACTCTTTTAATTCATGGTGAGGTTCCTCAACATTTTTGGGGTGATGTCGTTCTTACTCGCTCGTTATCTTATTAATCGTATGCCCTCTTCGGTTTTAGATAACAAAATTCCCCATTCTATTTTATTTCCTCATGACACTCTCCATCCTTTACCTCTGAAGGTTTTGGGTCTACCTGTTTTGTCCACAATTTTGATCCCTGGTCATGATAAGTTATCTCCTCGGTCACACAAATGTGTTTTCTTAGGATTTACTCGATCCCAAAAAGGATACAAGTGTTTTTCTCCTTCTCTTAATCGCTATTTTGTGTCTGCTCGATGTCACCATCAATGAGTTTTCCTTTTACTTTAAGGACCCTTCCCTACCTGCTGAGTCTCCCTCTCGCTACAGCTTCCCATTCCTGTTCTCATTGATCCTTATGTTGAGGACCATCCACCATTAGCCCCTCCTCCTCCACCACCCCTTCGGGTTTATAGTCGCAGACCTCGCCCACAACAGACGCCACATGACTCACTCCCAGTGCCAAATACTCGCCTCCTCCGGCTCCGTCCACGTAGTCCGACCTTCCTATTGCCCTTCGTAAAGGTACGCGTTCTACTCGTAATCCTTCTCCACATTATACTCGCTTTAAGTTATCATCGAATTTCTTCACCATTTTATACTCGTCTCTCGTCTATTTCTTCCGTGTCTATTCCTAAATCCGTCTCCGAAGCCTTAGCCCACCCTGGTTGGCGTCAGGCCATGCTAGATGAACTCGGTGCTCTTCGGACTAGTGGAACCCGGACGCTTGTCCCATTACCATCCGGAAAATCTGTTGTTGGTTGCGGGTGGGTCTTCGCTATCAAGGTTGGTCCCGATGGTACTATTGATCGCCTCAAAGCTCGCCTTGTAGCCAAAGACTATACCCAAATTTTTGGGTTGGATTATGGTGATACTTTCTCTCCAAGTGGCAAAGATGGCTTCGCTCGTTTATTCATTGCCATGGTCGCTATTCAACAATGGCCTCTTTATCAACTCGGATGTCAAAAATGCTTTCTTGAATGGCGATTTGCAAGAAGAGATTTATATGGAGCAACCTCCCGGATTTGTTGCTCAGGGGAGTCTTCTCGGATTGGTATGTCGTCTTCGCAAATCTTTATATGGCCTAAAACAGTCTCCTAGGGCCTGGTTTGGCAAATTTAGCGACGTTGTTCAACAATTTGGCATGACTAGAAGTGAGGCGGACCACTCGGTCTTTTACCGTCACTCGAATGTTGGATGTATCTATTTGATAGTGTATGTCGATGACATTGTTCTTACAGGTAGTGACCATCATGGCATCTCTCGGATGAAACAACACCTTTGTCACCATTTTCAAACCAAAGATCTTGGCAAACTCGGATATTTATTGGGTATTGAGGTAGCACAATCTACAGATGGCATTGTTATATCTCAAAGAAAGTATGCATTGGATATTTTGGAGGAAGCTGGGTTGATGAATTCAAAGCCTGTTGACACACCCATGGATCCTAATACCAAACTCTTGCAAAATCGGGGGAGCCAATGTCGGATCCCGAACAAGTATAGAAGATTAGTTGGAAAATTAAATTATCTTACGGTTACTCGCCCGACATTTCCTTTGCGATCGGTGTGGTGAGTCAATTCCTCAATTCTCCTTGTCAAGATCATTGGAATGCAATCATCCGTATATTGAAGTACATCAAAAAGTCTCCTGGAAAAGGTTTGGTGTATGACTCCCATAATCATACAAGAGTTGTCTGCTATTCGGATGTCGATTGGGCGAGATCTCCCTCCGATAGAAGATCTACATCCGGGTATTGTGTTTCCATTGGTGGTAACTTGATCTCATGGAAAAGTAAGAAACAAAGTGTTGTGGCAAGATCCAGTGCAAAAGCGAGTATAGAGCTATGGCCTCAGCTACCTGTGAACTTATTTGGCTCAAGCAATTGCTTAAAGAGCTACAATTTGGAGATGTCACTAAAATGACACTAGTGTGTGACAATCAGTCGCTCTCCATATAAGCTCTAATCCCGTCTTTCATGAGAGGACTAAACACATTGAGATTGACTGCCATTTTATTCGGGAAAAGATTATGTCTGGAGACATCAAGACCGAGTTCGTTAACTCATGTGATCAATTAGCAGATATTTTCACTAAGTCTTTACGGGGACCTAGGATGGATTATCTTTGTACCAAGCTAGGCACATACGATTTGTATGCTCCAGCTTGAGGAAGAGTGTTAGATATGATTAGATATTAGTTGATATTATTTGATATTGTTGAGATATTGTTAGATATTGTTAATCACAATATCAAATAATATCTTTTATTTACCCTATTTTGTATTCTGTTACTCTTTTGAGGAGTACCTTTCTTTATTATAAATACACTGCCCTATGTGTGGTAAATACATAAGGGAAATTAACCCTATACAGTTTTTCCTATATTCAACAGATATGAATTGACCTATCTATATGGTAGGACAAAATTCCCTCACACAAAGTACTGACAATGCTCTTTACAAACTAGAAGTAATCTTCCCAGTCCTTCCCTTTCTCTCACCACTAGAGATCACCCCCAAAAAAATCTCCCAAACAAAAACTAAAAAACTCAACCCTCCCTGCTAGACTTATATACTAAGTCTATTCTGCTTAAAAAAATAGTTACAATGTCAACTGTTTATTAACCCGTTTTTTTCTCCTTTTATAGACTAACCTATATCTATCAGTGTGAGAGAATGCAAGCAAATACTGGTCTTTTGATTGTCACAATACATGCATCATAAAAAATAAAATATAAAGTCATGTGATTTCTTAAGTAGTCACAGTGGATAGCAAATCAAAGGGTGTAAAAATAAATATCAAATACCTTTTAATCAGCACAATAATCACCGAGTTACTCAGGGATTTCACATTTGGAAATCTGAGTTGATCAAGCAAGAGACCCAAACGATGGCTCGCTTCAATTTTCAAATCTCCAATATTAAGTACTGGATGACCTCGCCTGAGCCACAATATATTAAATTCCACAGGCTTTCCTACAAAAAAAGTGAGGAGTCATAAAAGCACATGATTTAAGGTTCATAATAACAGATTAACACAGCCATCTTTTTACACAACCAAACTCAAAATGTAATACCTTGATGAGAAGTGGGCTCTGGGGAACCACTGGGGTCTGGTGTGTAAAGACGAATAAGTGCCTCAACAAACTTCAGTGCCAGCAGCTTTGCACCACCACTCCCATGCTTCAAACATGTTACCAAGGACAACCATCAGATCTTAAACCAAAACAGGTAACTTCACACTTCCAATGAGAGCAATTACTTACTTGAAAAGCTATTGAGTACACTTTGTCTTTGAATTTTAGCATCCACTCCCAAGCAGATTCAAGTGCACCATCTAAATCACTTGAATATAGACCCTAAAACAAAATAAAATCAGAATGGTAATGTTCATATGTTAAAATGACAACCAATTAAACATTAACAAGTGAGAGATAACTACCATTAGATATTGAAAATTTTTCTATTGTTATTGTAACTACTAACATTTGCCAGCATTTGTTCATGAAATTGTGAATAGCATGCTTGCTTTATAACTTTATCACGATGTACCAAGAAGGGGCAAGAAAATATTGACAGAAGTGAAAGGCTTTCCAATTTTGAAGAATAGAAGCAGATTTGGACGGTTAGCAGTCCCTGTGAACATATCATAAACCCAAAAGAAAAATGATTTGGGTATTAACTAATAATGTCACCTTCACTCACTTTTCCTGTTCTTGACTCATAAATAAACAGCAAACTCACTACACAACATTTCTGCCACTTAACAATCGTTTAAATTACAATTGCAAATAATGATTGCAGTTTCATTTATATCCTTGCAATTGTCGGAAATTTTGGGCAAATACGGCCAATCATAGTTAGCCGTAAAACCTTGAAGTCTCGACCAATATCTCAATTGATTTGACCTTTTTAACATGTTTGGTTCCAGAGGTAGAACATTGCCTATCAATGAAATCAACCTCTCAAATTCCTCATAAATTTCAGAACAAATTCACACGACACAAAAATCCACAACAACAAACAACCACACCAAGACAGCCAAAAACAACAATAAGTGTACCACTACAATCACACTTATCACCAAATTCTCCCCAAATTCATACAAAGCACGCACCTGAACTACAATTTTCTCAAGTGTGCCACGAAACAACTGAATTCCACACAGTAGAGCTTGTCGAACCACTGCCGGTGTGTCGTCATCCAATACCTCAATTAGCACAGGTACAATGTCAGACAAGAACTCCGTGTTCTTCAATCCAATCTCACCAAACATCCTGAATCCAAAAAAGAAAAGTGGTCCACCTCAAACTTCAATTCCATGCACCAACATCAATAAATCAAAATTTTAGAGTGTGTTTGGTTTCAAGGTGAAAATGAAGAGAATTGATTTTGATGCTGCAGTCAAACCCAATTTCACAACAACATAAGTTTGGTTACTGCTATAGATAAAAAAAAAAAAAACTTCTGTTAGACTAAAATGACGAACAAGTAGCATTTACAAGATGTTGAAAAATTTAGTCCAAGTTCTGCAGCAAACTTGCCATTAAGATAAAATCATCATTTCATTTGAAAATCAATGTTAACCAAAATTGGAAATCAATTTGGCCAACTTTCATTCAAACCACAGGGAGAATGGCGAAGAGAGAAAGGGGGGAAAGGTATACTCGGTGACGAATTTGCGCACGGGGCCGAAGGGATCTGTGTGGAAGAGGAAGAGTGAGGGGAGGAACTCGGTGAGGAGGACAGGGTCTTCAGGTGGAAGTTCGTGGCGCAGTTGGCGCAACGATTCGAGCTTGGAGGGGATGTCTATGGCCAACTTTGCAGTATTGAGGAGACTAGCCAGCTTTTCGCGCGAAGTGACCGCCATGGACATGGTTTTGCCGACCATGGCGATGAGAGAAGGAGCAAGAGGCTAGTTTGCGAGAATTTGCATGGGAAATGGGGAGCACGAGAGGATCAGTGTCGTTTTAGGGTTTGGGTGGTGGAAGACGAGGGAGAAGGAGGTTAGTTTGAAATTGATATTGCAGAAATGATTTTTTTTTTTAATATTAAATGACTTATTAAAAATTATAATAAGGTATCAACAACTAATCCACATAATATGTAATTTGAATAAATTAATTTAATTTATTGTTTAATTTACGATAAAATGTTTTGTAAATCCATAATATATTTAATTTACGTTTAATAATTTATAATAAATTATAATAAAGAAGTAATAAGTTAAATTCCTCATATGCCTTATGTTTTATAATTTATTATCTTATTTATAATTGAGGATATAATTTATAATTTATTATATTCTCTATAATTTACTTTCTTCGTCTAAATAATATTCATGTAGTTTTTTTTAGAAAGAAACACATTCATAAAAAATAAAAAATATTGTTTCTTTTATTTTAGGGACATTTTATATGTTCACTATTTACATTAATAATTCAGCGGACAAATTTTTGAGCTACGGTTTTATTTAAGATGGTAAAAAAACTAATCAGAATTAGTTTTTTTTTTTAATTTCCATTGTGATTTTTTAAAATATACTTAAAATCATTCAAAAAATAATTTAGAAAGTATATAAATGTATATATTAAATTAATAAAAATAAAATTTAAATTTATATAATAATTCTAAAATACTTTTATTAATTTAATTAATTTTAATATAAAATTAATAATAACTTAATTTATTAAATAACATTTTATCATGTTATATTACAAATTTTATTATATTTTGATTTTATTTATTATAAATACATTTGTTAATTGATTATTAGTAATAAATTTATTATTATTACTTTAAATATTTTACTATTATTATTGATAAATTTTTATTGTATATATTTTTTAAATATTTTTAAAGTATTTTTTCATTTAAGTTAATATTAAATGAGTTAATTAAAAGAATTTTTTTATGAAGAAAAGTTAAATTTTTGCTTTTAAATCTTAGTTTGATATTTTTTAAATTTATGTCACTAATAGATTTATAATTTATTGATTTATAATTTATTTATAAAAGTTTTTAAAATAGAGAAAAATAAGAATTGTATTTTAAACATTTCTATGATAATGTTTTAGGATGGTTGAACTTTTTTTTTATTGTGTGTGAAATAGTAAGAACAATATTTTAAATTATTTTATATTTTCAATTTTATTTACTTGCATTTAGGCGATTATGAAACTTATTTACATTTTTAAATTTAAATACAATTTAATTTCTAGACAAAATTAATTTTTTATAATCATAATATATTTTATCTAATCGTATTATAATTTTTTTGTCGCACGTTTGTCATTCATGGCATCTTATTAGAAATCTTATGATATATAAATCAATAAAAATATGATTTTACAATTAATCAATATTATTATCAAAAGAATTATCTAATGTTAGTTGTTATTATCTAATGATAATTTACAACTAAATTATACTTATATTAATTCATATTAATTCATATAAATATATTAATTCATATAAATATATAAACATATAAATATATAAACATATAAACATATAAACATATAAACATATAAACATATAAACATATAAATATATAAATATATAAATATATAAATATATAAATATATTCATAGGCACTCCGGCTCGATACCAATCGTGAAACTTCTTCGAAAATCAAAGAAGATAAAAGTTTTTATAACATCAAAGTATATAAAATACTGGGGAAAAAATATGAAATAAAGATAATATCTCGTAGATGATAAATGAGAAAACTTACATAAGAGAAGAAAACTGAAGACTTCATTGAAAGAAAGTTGAGTACAATTTTTACAAACACTGAACTCGCTCTGCCTCATCTAACTTAAGAGGCCTTATTTATAGAACATTTAGACTATTCTACACAAAGGAGAATTTACAAGTCTATCCTTACATTAATTACATAAATATCCTCTGAGCATCTTCTTTTGTCAAATCATATCTTCTTTTCTTATCTTCTTTCCTTCTTTTCTTATCTTCGAGCATCTTTTGTCAAATCCTTCTTTTCTTCGAGCATCTTTTGTCAAATCCTTCTTTTGCTTTTCTTTTGTGTCACATCTGGCTTTAATAATTTTGTCCTCAATCAAACATTTCAAACGGATTATGTTGAGTACTTTCTTCAGAGTCGGTTCTTGAAGTTGCTGATTTTTCTTTAATTATTTGTTCAAAATCCTTCATGGTAGTTGCTGCTGCTAGTTCTGCCATCAATCTTTGTTTCTCTGCTAGAAATAATGATTCTTGACTTAAGGCTTGATTTATACCTTCTCTTCTTTGACGATGATTAGCTTGCCATTTGTCAATATTGGATTTGGTTATTAATTCGGTGTTGAACTTTGACCACCATTTTATCTTAAATCTTCTAGAGAGTTGTTTAATATCCACATTCTCATATGCTGGTTCTATTATATAATCCCATGCTACGATCCAAGTAATAGACTGAGTGGCTACAAATGATATTAGTCTGTATCCAGAATCAAAAGAGGTCTTTTCTCTAAAATACTGATATACTTCACTAACGTCTTTTGGAAATATTGTAGGCAAAGGTCCAAAGTCTGCAAACCACTTGATAAACCATTTTGGAAATTTAAGTGATATTCCTCTCTTAAACCAGATAAACCAAGAATGGTTTCCTGGATGTACTAATAGGGCTTTGGTCCAGGCTTCTATATAATCATAATAATTATAATTTTGAGGGTAAAAATTTCTCGGAAAAGTTATTGGTTTTATGGATGGGTTGATTCCACTCTTCGGTGATAAAATTCTCAAGATCTTTATTTTGGAAAACAAAATATTATTTTGACTCGTCTCTAGTATGATAAATTTCTACGTAATCTGTGTCTCACTGAATAAATTCATAGAAGGTTCTTGTCTTTTCTAGATTTATTGGAGGATAATGGAAATCATCTGGAAAGAGTTTATTGGTTATGGTTCTGATATTATCATAGATCCAGGATTTTTCTAGGAGAATAATGAAAGAGGTTTCTGGTTTTTCAAAATATTCTTCTGATATTGGTTCTTGGGGGTTTTTATTGATCAAGTCTTTTGGTCCAATTAGGACATTTGGATATTGAAGAGGAGAGAATCTATTTTGAATAAGGTTTCTAGTCATTGATGGAGGTGTTTTTAGAATCTCGGCTAAGGTAGATTGAATTTTAGGATGTTGGGTTCTAGAGGTTTGTGGCCTTAATGATAAGGTAGATCCCAGTGGGGGATAGTATTCTTTTGAAACATCTTCTTTTGGTGATTCCAGTGGGGAATCATTCTTTTCTTTACCTTTTTTAGATCCCAGTGGGGGACCATACTGATCTTTGTTTACTGGCTTTGTACTCATGATGAAGCCTGTAAAAATTCTCTCGTTAAAAAGTCTGGTAAAAAATTATTTTTTCCTTTTATATGTTCAATCTCAAAATCAAAACAAGATAATAAAGATTGCCATCTAGCAAATATATGTTTTGAAACTAAATTTTGAACATCTTTATTTAGAACACTTGGAGCAACTTTTACAACTGCTCTTATTAAAAATTTCTTATTAAAAACATCATCCCGAAATTTCGAACACATAATACTATTGAAAGAATTTCTTTTTTAACAAGTAGAATACTTTTGTCGTGCAGTAATGCCAAATACCGTAATGATATCTAACAATCTGTTCTTTAGAAGAGTTTAAAATTCTTTGTTTTAAAACCCCCCATAGCCTAAATCGATGCATCAGCTTCAATTATTAAAAAGGCTTGTGGATCTGGTATTCCTAGACATGGAATCTTTTTTACTAATCCTTTTATTTTTATTATAGTTTGTGTCATGGTTTCATCCCATGAGGGTGGATTTTTTCTAAGTCTTCTATACAATGGTGCACATACAATTCTAATATTAGGAATGAAATCGCTATATAATTTACGCATCCTAAAAATCTTTGTAATTGTTGTTTATCTTTTATTTCGTTTGGAAATTTTTCTCGCAAATTCTAAAGATCTCTCGTATAGGGGTAATAGTATCTTGATAAATTTCATATCCTAAAAATCTTATCTTTGTTTGAAAGATTTTTATCTTTTTGCGTATACCACTAATCCATTTTCTTTTATTAATTTAATAAATATGTCTAAATGATTCATATGCTCAGTTATATTTTTTGAAAATATTAATATATCATCTAGATATACCATAGAAAATTTTATGTATGGAATTAAGATATTATTCATAATGTTTTGAAATTCGCTAGGTGCATTTTTTAAACCTTGTGGCATTACGTTCCATTCGTAATGGCCAAAGGGTACTACAAAGGTTGTTTTATATTTATCTTCCTCTTTTACTCGATATTTGATAATAACCAGATTTTAGATCAAATTTAGAAAATATTGTAGAGTTATGTACTCTTTTAATTAGATCATTTTTATTAGGTAAGGGATACCTTATCCATTTTAACACTTTATTTAAAGGTTTATAATTTATAACTAATCTTGGAGCTCCTCGCTCTATTTCGAAGCTTTCATTACATAAAACCCTGTACAACTCCAGGGTGATTTTGATGGTCTTATTAATTCTTTTTCTAAATATTCTTGAATTTCTTGTTTACAATATTCTAAATATTCTTTACTCATTTGGATTGGTCTAGACTTTGTTGGTATTTTCTTTTCATCAAAATTATCTATATAAGGTAATTCTATTGTATATTTTTTCCTATGCCAAAAGGCAGTAGGATTTAATTCACATATTTCTTTTTCTATTTTCTCGTTGATATTCTTTTATAATTTTTATAATATGTTGGCTATTTAGTTGTTCTTCTATTCTTTTAAATTTTATTTCTTTATTTAACATATTGATTTGCTTCTTTTTTATTTCTACTTGACTTATTGAAGATTCTTTTAATAAATTTAATTCTCTAGTTTTTGGAGGTTT